TAGTTGAATTGAATGTTATGTGAATTCGACGAAATCTGTTCTTCTCCATTGGAACTCTAATTATTTGGTCCACCAACTATTCGATGAATGTTCTCAGAGAACTATCTAACTTCAATTAATAAGAGAAACCTTACATGCTTGCTTCCATTGTATTTGTTTGCCAATATTTGAACTTGTCCACAAACATCAGGTAGTTATTTGCTGTATAGAAGGAATAAAGAAAGAAATTATCTTATTCCCTGTTCAGTGCTCTCTGTATACATGGATTAAACCTTGTCATCTCCACTTCTAGCCTTTAGGCAGGCTTAAAGTAATCAATCATTTTGATCGTACTCCTTCTCAATTTCTTTTTTTCTTGGGTTGGTTTCATTTCTGGGTTCCTATTTACCTAGTAGAAGTTCTTATTGAAAGAATAACTAAAAATTTTCCTTGCTAAAGTTCCCATTTAAACAATAGCTCTTTCATGATTCATAATTCTTTAACTTGTGGGTGTCAAATTTGCTCAGGAGAGATACCCTCCTATAGCTATCGATCTCTCCCATCCACAAGCTGTGAGGGAAGGTGTGTATGGTCAATCTGATATAATTAATGGTGCTGGTAACCAAGTCTTAAGGGTGCTAACTTTGCTTACCGTGAGCAAGAAGTACGTACGGCTTTCAGATCTCTCCGACCTCTAAGGGTGCTAGTAACTTTGCATACTGTGAGCAAGTACAACTTTCATAGCTCCATGGCCTCTAACTGAATTGAACAGTTATTATTTGCTTGCAGATGAATGAGGATAACAGGAGGTGAATTTCTCTCAAGCTGCTGATGAGTGGATTGATTAGTCAGCATGTTGTTCTCTGTTGCTGTCGGTTAACTTCTTCTCATTCTTTAAGAGCAAGTCTTATACCTAAAAGTTCAGTTTAATTTCCTGTGCTGGAACCAAACTCCGTGGTTCCCATGAACTACTTTATGCTGGTTAAGTTTCCATTTGCTCAAAACCCAAGTATTGAGTACCCATTCTGAGCTAGTTAGCTATCTTTGATGTTGATGTGAAGGGATGGATGAGCAATGGTGTTATGTACTTATATAGACTGAAGGGGCTAAATTAGAAGTGTACTCAGTTCTTGGTGTTGAGAATACAAAGGGGCTAAATTTGCAATGGTGTTATGTACTTATGTAGACTGAAGTGAAGAGAAGATAGACTAGTAGTCCTGTTTTAGAGTTATCATGAATAGAAACTGCAATACCTAGCCGTGACTTGCTGAGGTGTGAATTCCATGAAAGGAATATAGAATTGATTTGTGGCTCAGCACTTAGACATAGAATTTTAAATTCTTGTTTTCTAGAACCCTTTAGTGGCTTGCCAAGACCTGTTTATTGCATGCCAGAATAAACACAGCCCGTGATTCAGTAGCGTACTAATGCATGAAATTCTTGAGATAGATCATGTTATTGTATTTAGATACCTACTTCCTTTCCATTGTTTTGCCAAGATGTGACAATGATTAAATGACTTTCGTAAATTCCAGTAAGATCTGCAGGCTGCATTAGAGTTTGAAAAATTGAAAGTGATGTTTTCAGTTGATGATGATCAAGGAACAATGGAGAAGGAAGGTCAAGATGGAAATCAAATCTGCTGTCCAATTATTTGTTGTACATAAAGGTAGCAGAACTTAATAAGTCTGTGGACTCCTGATCTTAGGGATTCTCTTCTTATTGATTGAGTGTTGCTTGGTTTGTATTTCGCAGAAGCAAAAGTGCGTGCACGGGAAGATCTTGTTGCAGAATTCAAGATGCAACCTTAGGTATGTTCCTTCCTTCCCCGTGCACCCTACCCAGAGCGTTTGTTTTGCTGCTCTGGGAGTTAGATTTAGGTGCTGGGCATCTTTAGTAAGATTTTGAGTGCTGGATTTGTTATTAAGTTTTAAGATGGCTTTTATCGGAAACTTCAGGGGAAGGCATCTTGTAGCTGTAAGGCATTCTAGCATCAAAGGTGGAATGGAACTTCAAATTCAGAGGTAGGCACACAAGCAAGTTTTTATTTGTTATGTTGGGTGGTGGTAGCCGTTGATGCACGCTTGCCCTGTTTATCGAATAGATACTGCAATGGCATCGTAGGAGTCTACTAACGTTGTGACAATGGGTATTTGATTTGGTTTTAATTCTAGATTCATTCTGGTTAATGTTTTGTCTGGAGAATGGTCTTTTTGTAGACTGTAGACAGTATTGCAATTACCTATGAGTATATAACCCTTGGATTACGAGTAAAGAGTATATAACCCTTGGATTACTTATGAAGTGTGCATAAGTTAGAGTGATTTTTTTTTCTATGGGGAACTAACCATGATTTATTTTTATTTCATTGATTAATAGTTAAGCATCAAATGCTGCCTAACCATAGCTATTTCCTTGTGAAGCTGAGGATAACCACTACAACTTCCAAGAGAGCCAGACTTTGAAACAGCACACAGAGCACACAGGACAAGGTTTTTCCTTTAAATATAAAGTTCAAGTTGTTTTTATACATGTTTTGATTTCCTTTTAAACATGTTTAATTTCATTGGATATTATCCTGGTTGACTTCCTGAGTTTGCAGATCCAAAATATGCAGCTAAAGATGGATGTGAAACCCTAAGATGATCTAATTCTATGAGCATTCCCAAGGGAGATAAACAGCTTCGTATTCTATTTATTGGTGAGCTTGATCTACTAGTGATAATCAGTACTAGATATGTTCGTACAGTCACTGTTTAGTTGAAAGTTGTTATGTATAGGCTTAGTCAATTCCCATCACAGCCCCATAGTTAGTACTTGATATTTTCTTTTGGATGAATATGATCTTGTGCTGGGTTTTGCTGATTTTATTTGAAAATTGGGTTTAAAATTGCAGGAGAAACCACCATACCTACATCTCTAGTACAGAGAAAGGAAGGCTTACAACAATGGAATAGGTTGATATCTTGTATGTTCTGGATTCCCTTATCATTTTGATTATTTTTTTCAAGTTTGTTCTTGTTTCTCTTGATTATGACTTGACTGTTCGAACGTAGATGTTTATGCAAACCCATTGGGGGATTCATTACCTTGCTACTATACCACTACCATGTTTGATTTTGCAGCACCCTTTTTCAAACCCACGAATTCACTGCCTAGACTTGCTCATATTATTACCCTACTTACTCAGTCTGTGTTAGTCACTCATCAGGAAATTTATGTTGTCTAATTTTGAAGGGTTCCCTCCTCCTAGCTAAACTGTAGTTTCCATTTGTTATATATTTCAGGGTCTTTGTACAGATTTATCAACTCAGATTGCTTCCTCAGCTTCCTGCCAAGACATGAAGGTAAACTGAATTGCATTCATCTTCTAATGAATGTTATCCTACAAAAACAGCTCTTAGTTCATTGAGTAAGAGATCACAATTTGCAGATTCTTGAGGCCCCTTCATTATTTATCTAAAAAAAAAGGTACTCCATGGTACTCTGCGTTTCAAGTGAGTTCTCTACTTATCTTCTATATTTCCTTTTTATGCTTTTTTTGTTCAAGTGTTTGCCTGATTTTAATTCATACTCGTTGCTTTGCAGAAATCTCACCTGAATAAATGAGAGAGGACCATGTAGCATAATTTTTCAATTTCATCTTCCTCACTTCAGTGCACCGACTGTAATCAGGTAAACATGTTTAAATTTCTTATTATGATTCAAGTTGAAACAATCTAATAGTAAGGTTTGTTCTGAGTGGTAGGATGTTGTGTAGTTACTCTACTATTTCATGACAAATTGTCTCTTTTTTTTGGCATGGCATGGACAAGCAGGCTACTGTTCGTGTTTCATAAATAGGAAGGAGAGAATCCAGAAGGTTATAGGATATTTGAAGAAGGGAAAAAAAATATGGGATCATTTAACACTGTTTTGAACAATCGAGGTGTAGGAGTGCTTTCTAAAAAGCTGTTTATCTTTTCATGTTTGAATGCAGGTACTTTCAAGCAAAGAAGACATTGGCGTATTTCGAAACAACAAGCAGAAAATGACGGTCTCCGTGGTAGTTCATTCATCTTCATAAATATCTCTAATAACTTCCAGTTTTGATGGTTGATTACTTAGGTAATTAAGTGATCTGAATGGGGTGTTCAACTGTTCATGCAGGGCTTCCAATAAAAAAATAAGTTGATCTACTAGTTTGCACAGTGCTGGATTTGGTGGTACAAGGAGCTGAGGGGGACTGTAAGTGGGAGTTATGGTGGCTATAACGTAGGACTGTAAGCAACTTCTTTAGGTATAGTTTTAAAATTTTGGTAGAATGTCGAACATGGAACTTGGTTTTTGAATTGAAGGAATGTTCACTGATGGTTTATATTGTTGATTGGGGGTTTAAGGTGTTGATTTGGTAATTCAAAGTCAGAATGGTTTTCTTAGTTAAATTTGCTAAATGTTGGTATTGGAGAAAATTTCAACAGATTTGAGGTGTGTATAAGAGCAGGTGATTCAAAAAAAAAAAAAAATTGCTCATTTTGCGGCGGTTAGTTACCATTAGCGACGGTCGAAACCGTTGTTATGTAATTTAATCTTTCTTTCGCGCTATTTATTTAACGACGGTTTTTTTGTATTTAACGATGGTTATCAGCGTCGCTAATGTTTGTCGACGGTCAGCGCGACGGTCGACCAAAAGCGTCGCGAAAAAATTTAAGGACTGCTGGGTCTGTGACGGTCGGGTGGGCGTCATTAAATTATTTAGCGACGGGTTTGACTGTCGCTAACAGTGCAGAAAACCGTCGCTAAATCACTGCTTTGTTGTAGTGATCCTTTCTGTGCTCCTCATTAATAATCAACCGCCACGGAAAGAAGACAGGGAGAAAACTTTCCAATGACAAGAACTTCATTCCCACGTTTTATCCCTCCGCTTGCTTCCCATTGCAAATTTCGTCAGTAGTGCCATTTGAAAACAACCCTTCCCCACCCACCTTTCATAAGAAATATAACCACCATCTCTATATATTCCACATCCGGCCCAAACAATATACGATTTATTCACAAAAGACGATGAGCCATAGAAAGGCTTGTTCACAATGGAGCATCCCATTCTCATGGGAGGATTCCCCTGGAGTTTCCAAGACCAAGATCCACCGACGATGCCACGACGACGACGAGGGCTCACCGCCTCCGCCACCGTCCGGCCGCCGGTCCATGGAAGCTCGTGAAAGTGATCATGGTACCCTTCTTCCACCACCTCCTCCATCATCGTGCACCAAATTGCAGAGGCACCTAAGGGGATCGTCGTCGGGGAAAACGTCATCGTTTGGCCGGTGTCAACTGGAGGACCCTTTTCTGGCTGCCTACAAGGAGTGTACGAAAGATCGATTCCGGTGGTGGAAGAAGACTGCTAAAAATTATGGTAGCAATGGTAATGGTAAGAAATTGATGTCTAGCGATCAGAGCAAGAAGGTGGTTGATGGTAGGTTTTTCAGTAGCAATACTGGGAATTGTAATTACGGTAGTGATTGTAAAGGTAGAAAGAGTAGCAAGTTTGTGTTTTCTTGTAACAGTTCTTGTGATGTTGTGGAAAGTAGCCTGGTGGCAAGGCTGGCGAACCTTCCTCATCTTCCTGATGATCATAGAGTGCGAAGGAGATGATGGGATATCTTGAATGTGGAAAGCAAGACTGGAATTTGTTTTTACTTTGTGTACACTATATACAGTTACGGGTATATATGGAGTATGTAGGCAAAACATGTCTAACTACTACATTCGATCGATCCTACATAACTCGTAATCTCCCCGCTGGTTGGCCGGATGAATGTATACATAATAATGATAATTACTCGAATTATTTATTTGGTACCATGAAAGCACCCAAATTATTCAATTACTAAAAATAAAAAAAATAATATGCATAATAAGTTTTACAACATCTTGATCATTCATGAAATAAATTCCTTATCATAAGCATCACAACTCATGCGGAGAACCGATTTCTAAAAACAAATATTCAAAACACACTTCAGCGTACTCTTTGATGTTAGAAATTATTGCAAATTCCTTTGTGGATTTATTTTTGATTGCTCCGCTATCAAAAAGCATATTCTCCACATAAATTCATCTTTATTAATGAAACTTTATATTCATCACCAATAGTCTCTTCATTCTTCTTCTACGTTATATTGAAAACCAAATTTTAATGGTAAAATGGTTGAAAATGTGAAACATCTTTTAACAATAGTAGAATTTCACCTCATCCAAATCATAAATATTATCAACCATTCTCTCTTTCCTCCCATCTTTAAAATTTCTATTTCCATCATTAATAATCACTTCATTTATCTCAATAACGTCATTATCTCCATTATTGAATTCACTACCTCCGTTATTAGCAAACACTTCCTTCTTCTCTTGCATTTCACTGAATGCAAAAAATAATGGCAACATTTTTAGACTTGTGAAATTTTGTTTTCAAGAACTTAAATTACCAACTACATTTTGTGAATTTTGTGTGAGATTGCTCTTTTTCATCCTTTATTATCTTCAAAACTATGTACCCACTATGGGCCAGATTTGCAATGTTGTAGTCGGTGAGCTTGATCTTAAAATTTAATTTTATGCTCTCATTTTGGATGCGATGAGGAGGCGAATGTTCTCTCATTTTATCAGTATCTTTATGTAGTTTCTCAGTACAGATTTCAAAAATCTAGCTCCCTCACGGTACAAACAAATAAAGTTAGAATAAGTAATGTTGTCTACAACTCACAGCTAGTCAAAATCTATAAAACAACAACAAATGAGATGCACTATTTGGTCAAAAATTTATGTTTTAGTGGGTACTTTGTTTTCTCTCGAATGAATGAACTTGAAGTTGATAACAACAGAAGAGTAGAGGTAGATTATTACCTAACTACTATTATCTTTGATATTCGTTGTATAATACTATAAAATTACTCATCGTAGTATTTTTCAACTTTTCTTTGGCAAGTTTCAATTAATATGAGGTTTTTAACCCAAAAATTTTTAAAACTAAGTTGAAATGAATGAGATATATATAGTTCGCTGAATTTGTGAGAAATTGAAAAACTCTATAGCTCGTGAGATTTTTTTTTTTTTTTTTTTTCGTTGAATCAGTTACCCCTTTATTAAGTAACGAATTGCCAAAGCAGCAATCCAAGATACAACGAAAAGCAAGGATACCAAAGCAGCATCCCCACGCAAAAGAAAAGAACCAAAGGAACTCTGCTAGCGACTAAAAACAACCAGCAGCATCAATACACCCTACCCTCCAACTACTGCAGACCTAACATGTGTAAATCCCTCAACATTAATTCTCTAATTACATGAACTTCTCGCGGAGCCTCATCATGGTATCTCCTACAGCGTTCCTGCCAAATATAAGTGACAAATAGACACCATTTAACATTAATCCCACGCTGAGAATCACGCTGCACTGCTGCACATAGAGCCTGCACAGTCGCCACCCAAGAGCCTCGGGCCAACCCATCCTGCACAAACCCCTGCATCAACAGCCGAGTATATTCACAAGTAACAAAAAGATGATCTCTTGTTTCACTTTCTAGGCCACAAAGGACACACTTGTCCTCATTCACCTTCCCCCAACGCAACAGCTTACTCTTCGTTGTAATACCATCAAGTAAAACCAACCAGGCAATGAAACTAAAACGAGGCACATGATTTGGCCCCCAGACTAACTTATACCACTCCACAGCGCTGCTCTTTGGACGTAGAGAATCCCAGACCCGCTTTACCGAGTATTTTTCCATAGGTTTCCCATCCCACCAGGCACAATCTCCTTGCCTGCTAAGAAGAGACTGCACCTGTGAACGTTTCTTCAGAATCTTCCGCCAAGCCCAGGAGCTATTAGAGTTCTCCTTCATGGTCCAGATGTCTCCCGTCTTGCAGCGATAACGTAGTGTCCAAGCAACCCAAATAGCACCTGATTTCATCATCAATAGCCACAACAATCGTAAAGAACAAGCAGTATTCCAGGAACTAAATTCCCGAATCCCCAATCCACCTTCCTTCTTAGGCCTGGCCACCCTTTCCCAACCAATTTTTGCTCTTCCTGTCTCACTGCCATGCCATAAAAAGTCCATACAAATCTTCTGAACCCTCTTCAAGATCTTTTTAGGCAATATGAATACCTGCAACCAGTACTGAAGCAGACCTGTCACCACCGAAGTAATCAATTGCAATCTCCCAGCAAATGTAAGTGTTTTTGCCCTCCACGACCTAACTTTCTTGGTAATCGCTGCTGCCAATGCCTCACAATCTCTATCCGTCAACTTCCCTGAGATAAGAGGCAATCCCAGGTACCTTACAGGTAGACAACCCTCAGTAAACCCTGATAAGTTCAGGGCATTTTGCTTATATCGAACTGATTCCCCTCCAAAGAATACTGAGCACTTTGCAGGATTGCACTTTAACCCCGATTGCCAATAAAACTGTTCCAGTACCTGCTTCACGGCCAATATAGCTCTAGCTGATCCCACTGTAAATATTAGCAAATCGTCTGCAAAACAAAGATGATTCAAAGAGATTTTGCTGCACAATGGATGGAAAGGGACCAGGCCCTGCTCAGAGGCCTTAGAGAGCATACCCGAGAGACCTTCCATTGCTACAGCAAACAGATAGGGGGAGAGGGGGTCCCCCTGCCTCACCCCCTTCTTAGCACAAAAGAAACCCTTCATTCCACCATTAGTACAGATACTGAAATGAGCCGTTGATAAGCAAATATGGATCCAATCCAGAAACTTAGCAGGGAACTCCATCAGCCTCATAATCATAAACAAATAATCCCAGTTAACCGAATCGAAGGCCTTCATAATGTCTATCTTAACAGCACAGCGTGATGAGAGCTTTTCTCTATGATAACCACTAACCAGATCTTGAGCTAACATAATATTGTCTACAATCTGCCTGCCTTTGATAAATGCAGTTTGATTAAGACTGATAACACTAGGCAACACCTCACTAATCCTCTTAGCTAAAATTTTTGCAATCACCTTATAAAGGACATTAATGCATGATATCGGACGAAATTCTTTAAAAGTCTCAGCATTAATTACCTTTGGAAGCAGTGCTACAGCAGTGGCATTGATCCCACTTATGAGCCTGTTGCTCTCAAAGAAGGCTTGTACCCCTTTTGTAATGTCTTCTCCAACGATGTGCCAGGTTCTCCTGAAGAAACCAGAGGAGAACCCATCAGGGCCTGGCGCCTTGTGAATGTTCATATGGAAAACCGTTTCCCTGATTTCTTCCACCGACACAGGCTGGCATAACAACTCTTTGCTCTGAAGAGAAAGCTGCTTATGAATCACCCCCGTCAGAAACTGCTGATCTGGCTTGATTTCTGAGTTAACCACACCAAACAACTTCTGATAAAAACCCACCGCAGCTTCAGCCACCTGTTCCACATCCTCAATCACCTCACCATCCTCTGTTTTAACTCTTCGAATAGCTCTTTTGGCTGTTCTGATTTTCACAGACTGGTGAAAATATCTAGTACTCTTGTCACCTCTCTTTAGACCGGCCTCCCTTGATTTTTGCCAATACAGTCCCTCCTCAGCTTTTTTTGCAACCTCCAATTGAGATTCCAGCTCTTCCTTCCGTGTCAAGTTATCCTCTGTGGGTGCAGAGAAGCACTCTGCCTTTACCAGCAATAACCTCTTTTCAAGCTCCTTGACCTGAGTAGGAATATTGGCAAAATGATTCCTATTCAACTGAATCAGGGCCTTCTTGACTTCACGAAGCTTCCTCTGAACAATAACCCAGGGATGTCCAGCTATTCTTACTGACCACGCTTTCTCCACTAATGGGAGGAAATCAGGATGATCCCCCCAAAAGTCAAAGTACTTAAACGGTTTTGGCAGTGTTTTATCAGAACCCTTAGCCTTTACTAAAATACCACAGTGATCAGAGAAGGTACCTGGCACTGCCTCAGTAATACAGTGAGGAAAAGTAGTAAGCCAATCAACGTTTACCAATGCCCTATCTAGCCTTTTAGCAATAGGATTCTGCTGCTGATTGTTAACCCAGGTAAACACAGGACCTAGAGTGTTAACATTCTCCAGCTCCATGTTGTTCCGCCATTCATCAAACTCCATCATACTTGAGGTCAACTGTATCTGATTTGAGGCTTCTTCTGGTTTCATTATTGCATTAAAATCACCTCCCACTAACCAAGGAGCACCCATCACTTTGACTTGCCCTATATCTGCATAAGTATCTCTACGCTCTACTTCATCATTCGCACCATAAACCGCAGTGAAAAAGAACATCTCACCGCCCTGCTCCTGTACCATAGTATGTACAAAATTCTTGCCTGGTTTCAAAATCGTTACCTTAACTTCCTGCTTCCAGAAAAGCCAAATCCGACCCAAATCCGATTCACAATAACTCAAATGCCTTTCCCAACCAACAAGAAAACCCTCTGCAATTTCCTCCGACTTTGCTTGTCGTACTCTAGTTTCCAGGATAGCTACCAAACTAATATTGAGGCGTCTCAGGACCTGGGAAAAGTCCTGCCTCTTCGAGGATTTGTTAAATCCCCGAACGTTCCATATTAAGCAATTCATGTTGAAGACTGGGGCTGAAGCCCCAACCTCTTACTACCTCGTTTGGGAGCATCCTGAAAATGAACGACCTCCTCATCCTGATCCGCCAAAATATTGAAAG